ATGAGTCCGACTCTCTAACCATTAGGCCACAACTTCCCCATATATGAAGCACAGCTCACATAGAAGTGACTTTCAAACCCAGCAGCCTGTTCTTTTGAGTCTAACCTTGTCCATTCTGTCTTTCTCAACTCCAAATTTCCCTCCATAGCCGTAAGAGGCTTTAGGGCCCTGGTCCAGCTCTTTCTTCTTAACCACCTCGTGTTCCCGAGACACATTCTGCCTGAGATCTGCAATGCTACACACAAACACAGGCACATTGCATGTTACTACATGCTGCATATTACCATGGAATGTAATGGCACTTTTGTTATGCACTCAACTCTTTGCACTTGTTTATGGTGCTTCTCATTTATATTTTTTAACATTATTACTGTAAATAATACAGATGTATCTTATATTTAAAATGCAGTGCGTCAGTGCAACATCTTATTCCGCTTCTGACATGATGTAGGCTTGAAATGATCAGTCCATATTTGGAAATGCAACTCATGTCGGCAGCATTTCTACTTCCTATTTCCTCTCTGCAGAGAGTCACTCTTTTTAGCAGTGCTTTCAGTTCAATGCAACATGGTGCCATTAAAGCAACCTGCTATATTATTATACTATCTCAAATCTGTAGATCTTTTCTATAACATGTAGCATCTCTAACTGTTACCTGATGTGTTCTTTTCGACCTGATCCTTCTATGGTTCTGGAACCCCATCTCTGCTCCTGCTCCGATACATCATTCTGATACACAGACACATTTTCATTTATACAATAATAATAAATAATAAAATGTTTCATTTAGATTAGCACCTTGCATTTATTTTCAGGTCTGCTTACCTCAAAATTCGGATCGGTCTCCCAGTCGTCCCCCTCCGATTCGACCTTCACATTAACATCATGTCCCACCACAGATTTCCACATCTGTAGAAAGAGACGAGCAAAGATGTCATGGCTCATGTTACAAAACTATACAGAGTATTGAATGCATTATGCTCAAAATGCATCAATAAACATAAATATTTACGGATACAGTATGATGCATGAATATATGTATCACTAAGTGACTGATTCTAATCATCTTGTAGTAAACTTGCAAGTTGACTTTTTTTACAACTGCTCTGCTGTGTCATCAAGAGAGTAAAACATCAGGATCACAGCTTGAAGTTGTAATTCTACACATTTT